GTTGCCCCCGGCGGTTCCGCCGGGCAGGACGGGGGCGGGGGCCGCGGGTCACTTGGGCGGGAATGGCGAGATCACCGAGGCGGCTACCGCGGCGGCCTGCTGACTTGCCAGCACTGCCGCTGCAACACACACAGAGAGACAGCAGGCCATTAATGTTTCGTCACGATTACTCTGAAGCATTTACTAAACGCGCGCGTTTGCTTTTTCCAGCTGTTGCTGTTGCTTTGTTGTTCGGACGATGGCGACCCGCGGCACTCGAAACCGTGATGAGAAGCGCATTTCGGGCTATTGAAGACCAAGAAGGGAGAGATCAAGATTCGTCATCAGCTGAGAAAAATTCTTCTCATTGCCTGTATAATTAGTTTGTATTACGTTTGTAATACAAACTAATGAGCGTATTGCATTTGGTGCAGAGAAGAAGTTGAAGATTTGGAAACCGTTTGAAAGCAGAATACTCGATATTACTTCTATGTAAGAAAACGAGGAAACATCAGATTGAACAACTATCTAATAGCGAGTCTAAGAATTGAGGAGCATTGATTATCAATCGTCTATGACATCATAATATAAATTCAATACGTTATGCTAATTAAAATAATCATAAACTAATACAGAAGTAATGTAAGAAATAAGTAAATAAGTATTATATGTGATTAGAGAAAGAAAGTATCAACTTCAGATGAACTTTCTCCTGTGCTAACTAAGATTCACACTATGTTACTTAATTATAATGTTACATGATCTCAATCTTCACATCTTTGCAATTTACTTGATGTCATTATTAATGTCCCTTTAGATCCTGGCAATAGATTCTTAAATTTCTCATCTAGTAAGTGACAATAAGACATAGAAAGTGTATTTGTTATAAAAATTGGCAAACTCTTCGAGACAGGATCTTCGAGACAATCGTTAACGAGCAATCCTCTAAGAAACGTATCGTGTCCTCGAGTTCAACCGCGCTCGAGGAGAAACCCGTATATTCGAGATATCTAAACACCGAGCTAATTCCATTACTACTCGAGGGAAAATGACGACGGATGTGTGTGTGTGTGTGTGTGTGTGTGTGTGTGTGTGTGTGTGTGTGTGTGTGTGAGGAGTGGTGGGAAAGCATACAAAGTGTACCTAAGCAATTTTTTCTATCTCCTTCGTTCTTATTTTTGTCTCAATGATCCCGCGCATTTCCTAAGTCGCATGATTTGCGGACTTCCCTCGTTCACGAAAGTCCTGGCAGTGTTGGCTCCGTAAGCGTACACTTGGTCGATTAAATTCGCGGATTGGCGATCGTTTTCTGAGAACGAGAATGTTGTTAATAGCATATCATAACAATGAAATGAAGTTTGACAGTGCAGAACTATCTATGCATAAAAAGATTAAAGTCAATTTTTTAAATTGGTAGCTTATCTGGAGAAAGAGAGAGAGAGAGAGAGAGAGAGAGAGAGAATTTTAGACGAAAAATTTTATATCCCAGCTGCCACTCAAGTTACTTTTTATCTTTTTTGGAAAATCATTAAAGTCACTACTATCTAAAATGGATCACTTTTCTTTCTTTCTTGAATATGAAATTTGTAAAACATAAATATTCTACATTTAAAAATGTAGAAATTCAATGTACTTTTAAGTTACATAAATTAAATTCAATTTTATAATACTAAATTAAATTTTATGTATCTGTAACTGAAAGCTATATTTGTGTACAATTTGTGTGGAATTTAATGTTTCATAAAATTTTACGAAGTTTAGTACATTTTTTATTAAAATTTTTTATCTGACGACTAGATGATAGCGCTAAATCCAAATTCATTTCGTTCTATCTCGGTTCTCTATTTCTTTCAATAAGCAGAACTATGTATTTCCAAAGAGATGGAAAACATGTATTGCATTTTTATTATTTTCTACGAACATGTCTTTGTACTTTGATTTAAAATATAAAAGAAAAAAAAAGATTGGTGGAAAAAAAATGAAGAAAAAAATTGCCTTTCTGACATACATAAAACTAATGATATATTCCCGTGATATTGTTAAATTTATTGAAAGCTATCAAGATATTATTTCGAAATCTAAAAATAATTGCTACCAGGTAATGAATAGTCAGAAAACGATATTTTTACAAGTCACAAACAACATTCTCGTAACAGAAATCATACACTACCGTGAAAACGCAAAAATCAAAACTATAAAGTTCTGATGTTATTTTGCTGCAAAAGAAGCTTTTTTGTGGAAGACTATCGAGGTCTAACAAACAAAAAACGAAGGATACATACACAGATGCAAACGCGAATATATATCGCGTTTACAAAAGGATTGAACGTTACAAATTAAAAAAAATCTAAATGCCAAAATTTGTAAAACGCGGTAAAATGAAAATAATATATTTTTCTATATGCAGTAATCGATAAAATTATATGTATTCGATATTTGCAATTATAGGAGATGAACTATTAAATTCTATTTTAAAACTGCGAATAAAGTTACTATAATATTATCGTTGAATAAGAACAATAAGAATCTTATTGGATCGTACATGTGGAAACACAAATAGGAAATAAAAGTCCACAATGGTCGAAGCTGGGCATTATCGTTGAATGTTTAAAATTATATGGGCTCTTTTTATCATTAAAATTCTTTTAATGATTAAATTCTAAATTATTATTCTCTTTGGCATCTAGACTTTTTAATTTGTTCAATTAGAAACTGCGTTTTCCTCGCAAATGCCACAATCAATATCAACATTAATATTAGCATTGATAGCCATATCAAGCTCGATGAGGTCATTATCGTCATCGTTACTTTTACACGCGAGTGCCCATTATCCGCAGTCGGATGATCTCGCCCATAAAATCCTGTTAACTTTTTTTCCGCCCCGGAAAGAAGCACGATAAATAATTATCACAGTCTGAACTATACGTCTAATCCCTACTTGCGCCCTACTTGCGGTACACAGCTTACATGACTAATCTACACACGGCCGCAATTATACCTCATTATTTCCAAAATATTCAATTCGTCGCTAGGAGACTCGTTATATACGTATGTATATATGTATAGATATACAGAATGTTTCAGGTGTCGTGCGCTTTCTCTCAACTACAGACATTAATCGAATAGAATATCCTGACCGTATCCTTTTGGATTGAAGACCGTAAATATTTAATGAATGAAATAACAGATGTCATTCAAACAAAAAATCAAATTTTCTCTTGCGCTTAAATTAAGTTTATAAGTTTTTTGAATATAAGGTATTTAATACTATACAAAACTAAACGATATCTCACCAAGGTAAATGGATATTTTAAATCCGTAGTGGATGGAACGTGCACGAGATCCGCGATCGATATATATATATATATGTTCAAAAAATGCTATAGCGCGAGCGAACCACATCACTCCTCCCTCGCGTCCGCAGAATGTACAATCGAAGATAAATTAATTACAATTGTCGTTTGAGTCCTCAACGCGGGGCCCAAATAGAAGAGGTTCAATCGATATTCACACATTTTAATATTTTTATCTTTGTACAAAAGAAGAAGCGCGTCTCTTATTGGTCTGGTAATAAAATAGTACCTCAACGGATACTCTGCGTACGGATCGACTCTCGAACGGAGAGGGCTCCTGTCACGCGAGTTCCTTGTTGCACATCAAGATCCACATGTATTTTTCTTTCCTTTTTCTTTCTTCTCAATTTTTATGCACCAATATGGTGTACGGTTTAGACACTCAGGCTCTAAATTATATCTAGCCGAGTTTTACCCGTTTTTGTCGGACAATATTCGTCCGGATTCGTCCCGAAGCTAAAATTGGCCGTTCGCCGTTTCTTATTCATCATTGAAGTCATTTTTGTACTGTCCAATTTGACCTCGAACCGAAAATATATCAGTGTGCAAACACATGTATTTAAAACGCACTTACAATTGCATCGCATTGTACACTTAAAATGAGGCCGACTGTTAATTTCGTTCACGGTGTCATTTCAATTTAAGATTTAAGATTTAATAAAAAGCCTACGAATACCGAGAATTCATGTCTCGGCTATTTGCTATGTTATCGCAAACGCGTCGCACCTTCAAGTTTAAGCGCATGATCCTGAGAGTTCACCTTCATCATTCGTAAAACGCGATCTATTGCAAATGCTAGGCACCCCTCAACACGCTTTCGACTCGCTTCGTCGTCATTCATCCTTAAGAGTTCACCAGAGAACGCGGCACGCAAACGACGTAACGAGCAGGTCCTAAAGGGTCCTAACGCATATATGCGTTCGTTTTCAAGCCATTACGCTCATGCTTCTCTCTCGTTCTTTCTGGTTCTCGCTTCACTGGGTCCCGCGGGTCGCCTTACTGTCAGGGTCTGACGAGAGGCTTACCTCCGTAGGGGGCGGGGTACTGTCCCGTCAATAAGGGATACCCGAGGCCCACGTGAGTATGATGATGCGTGTGCACGTGTCTCTGTGGAGGCGGCGATCTGTTATCCTTGCCGAGGCTTCCACCGCTGGCATCCACCGCACCTTGTTGCTGCTGCTGACTACCCGGTTGACCCTGCTGCTTGCCGGATGGCTGTTGACCTTGGCCCGGCGGTGGGCCTGGGCCTGCAACTGACGTAGGCGGACCACTGGGGGGCCGGGCGGGGGTCGGACCTGCCGAAGATGGGCTGGCGGACGCTGCAGAAGTCTTGGGCGTCGGTGATTTGAGCGCGCGCTCCTGAAGCTCATGTATCTTGTGCGCCGAGTAATACTGATTAGCGTGGTGTTGGAGCAAGTCCAGTGCTTTGCCGCCGGGTGGCCGACTAAGATCCTCCGGCGCGTGATACCTAGGCAGCTGGTGAAGATAGGGGTTACTCGAATATGGGCCGGGCACCAGCATGGGGCTGAGGCCGCGGTAAACTGGATGACCTGGATCGAATGGCAGCGCACCATAATGCTGTGGCTGCATATAACTGGGATGAATATAAGCGTACTGCGAGGTAGGCGGCGGCGGCGGTCCCTGAGTCTCCATCGTCGGCTTTACGCCCTCCTGCTTGCTCTTTGAGTCTTCACTCTTTCCGAGATCCTGTGGTTTTTCCTGCTTCGGCTGATGCTTTGGACTAGGCGGTGGCACCTTTGCTTGTTGATTCTGTTTGTTTGATTCCTCTTTTCTTCTTTGTTCACTCGGATACAGATAATACCTCCTGTCATCTTGAACAGGTCCCGGAGGAGGCGGCGGCGGTGCCGCTCGTTGACTCTGCGAACTGTGATAAACGTGATACGGACTCATCTGACTTTTCATCTCGATACTCTCCTTGAGTATCTGATGATTTTCGTGTTGTTTGTCTTTCAGACTCGGCTGTGGCTGTGGCTCCTGCTTAATCTTAGTCTTCTGTTCATGCGATTCCTGATCCTGCGACTGCTGACTCTGTTGCTGCTGCGAAACCGGCTGCGGTGGCTGATAGGCATAGCCTGGTGGCATATAACCACCGTAACCGCCATAATAGTGCGGCTGCTGTTGCGGCTGCGGTACAGGTTGGCTCAGTTCTTTCTTCTCCTTTTCCGACACGACACTCTGCAAGCTCGCCATCGAAGGCATCTGCGGTATGTTGAGCGGTTTTATCTCCTGCTTGGGCGTAAGATCGCTCGGCTTCTGATCTACCACCGGTTTGTTGTCCGGAACGTTGGACACCAGATAAGGCGGCTGACCATAGTATTGATACATACTGAAATGCGCAGGCAGATGTGCTGGCACCGTGGCTTTGTTGTCTTTTTCTTGACTCTGTTTAGACTTGTCCACTGGTTCGGCCTCTAGCACTGGCGCTGCGTCATCCGATATGTCCGAGTAGGCCGGGCTTTGTACATCATCGCGCGCCGAATCGACGATCGGCGCTTCGAGAGGCGATGGGTGCGGACTGCCACCGGGTGATTTTCGCGATTTTTTCTTGTAGCTCTGCGGTTTGGGAGCACGTGCATCCGCGCTCGTTTTGCTCTTGTCTTGCTCCGGCATCAATGCAGCCGTAGGTTTTACCTTGAACTGTGGCATCTTTGCCGCAGCAGCGTGCAGCGATACCGCAGTTGGATACTGTTGCAAGTGCGATTGCACACCCTGACCTGGATGACCTGGCGGTGGCGGTGCCGTCTGTAAACCCGCTGCCTGTTGCGACACTTGGTTTGCAAGATTCTGCAAACCCGCGTGCTGACTGGCTATACTTTGTAGACTGGCTTGTTGCTGTAATCCAGACGGCTGCACCACATGGGCCTGCGCGGGCTGACCCAATTGAGCTGATAAAGGATGCTGCACCGATTGCAATTGATGCGCCGGCGGCAGCTGTTGTTGAACCGCTGACTGTAGCTGTTGTTGTTGTTGTTGTTGTTGTTGCTGCTGCTGCTGCTGTTGCTGCTGACTGCTGACGCCAGGTTGTAGCTGCTGTTGAGGCGATTGGCCGACTTGCTGCAACGATGGCTGCGGTTGTTGCAGAAGAGGATTCTGCGATTGATGCGATTGTTGCATCTGAGACGGTTGCGGTGGCTGCGGGATGTTGAGGGGCTGGGGAATATTCGTACTTGGATGTGGCGAAGGCACGGGCCTGGGGGATTGACTGGGATGGGGACTGGGGCTTTGGGGCGGATTTGACGAGATTAAAGACTGATTCTGTTGTTGTTGCTGCTGTTGCTGCTGCTGCTGCACAGATTGCTGCTGCTGCCTCGATGGCGCTGTAGAAGTGGGCGCCGGAAGATCGTCCTGGCCGAACCTGAGTACGCCCGGCTTGACGATGCTCTTGTCCGCGAGCACAGGCGTAGGCGGTTCTATGCTGGGTGATGGAACTCGTGGAGGCGGCGGCGGCGTTTCCGGTGGCAGTCCCGCTGCCGATGGACTCGCCGCTCTCACCGGCGTGCCCTCGGGCTTGTCCGCCGGCGACTTCACTGGCGTGGCAGGGCTTGGTGCTTCGATATTGCTCTCATCATTTTCCGACATACTGGTGATACCTTCCTTGGTGTCATCGTCGTCGGCGGAGCCATGCGCGTGGCTCTGGTGATATTTAAGTCCGTTAATGTGTTTGTACTTTTTACTGCAGTTCGGCTCGGGACATTCGAGCAATACTGGACTAGCAGGTGGTGAACCGCTGGGTGGCGTCGGTGGCGGCGCTCGTCGCTTGTTCTTGTCCTGCTCCTCCTCGGGTCCGCGCGACTTCCGCTTCGCTGCCGGATCCGGTCGTGGCGGCACGAATGCCGCTGGGCTCGGACTAGCCGCAGGTGAACCCTGTGCGCCCCGACGACCCTTGCCGCCGTTGCGCAGCTTACTGTGCACGGAACTCCTCGTCTCTGTGAAGTTGCTCAGGTCGTTGCCGGGTGTGGAGTTGGCCGCGGCGCGGCCGCGCTTACCGCGGCCTTTAGGCGTGCGGGCATCCAGATCGCTAGTTGGCGAGTCACAGAAACGTGGTGGAGCCCAGTCATGACGTGTGCAGTCCAGCAACGTCCCAACGTACGTCTTACCCCTCCACGTAACATTTACCACTAGTACACCTGCAACAGAGAAAAAATATCTTGATCATAATGATCGACAAAAGCAATTCCTTCAAGCCTCATAACTGTCTTATAATCTTTTATATCAAGTTTGATTTGTTTAGACGTTTACTAAAATCTCGTTAAAAAAATCCCTAAAAATTTCAAATATTTTTGTTAAAAATTCCAAGATTAAAGAATTTTTGAATTGTGATTGGATTATGCTTTTAGATCTAGAAGAATAGACCTATTTCAACAAAGAAAACTAAGAAAACGGTTGCAAAATGAATTTCTACTGAAGGCAATCATTTATCAGTAATTTCTGATTAAACAAAAACTTATGCATGTCACAACTTGGCGTATCGCTCAAAGCGATTCGATTTCGAGTAAAAGAAATAAATGAAGAAAAAAAAAAGACGATGAGAATCTCGCGTTGTACAAAGAAATACGACTGTATATATCGTTTTGCTGATGGAACAACGCGTAAAGCTACAGCGAAGGAAAAACCGGTCCTAAAATATAGCGGTTTTAACCCCCGGGGGCCCCTCGAGCAGTTTCATCGCGTAATAAGTTTCGTGGCAACCTGCTGACGAGTTAACTCGCGTCTGTTTCCTTCCTTTCCTCCTTCGACTCTTCGTTTCTTGCGCGATCAGCGCTGCTAATTGAAAATATCTCGCCTGTGCACGTGCAAGAAAACGCGACGTTTCGCAGGTGATCTCGACGATGATGCTGCAGGTGTTCTCAGCCGCGGAACTCCCGTGTTCCATACAAAGTGCGCGGCTAAATTACTTTCGCGTTCGCGTAATAGGTAGAGTCGACGTAAATCGAATCAGCACCGCGGGGCGCCGCACCAGATTCAAATGTCAAAGCTTCAGGGAATGAACGATGTGATCTCCGAGTGAGCGAAAAGGATAGTTTTACATTAACGCTGTTCTTGAGTTGTGTCCATTTGATGTTCGCTTTCAGAATTTCATTCTTATTGTTTATCAAGTATTAGATAAGGACAAACAGATTTGCGAGCGTTGTGAACGCCAAGTAGAATGTTGCTTAGCGTACTGAAAATATTAATTATAAGCTAAAAAAAGAAAGAAGAAAGAAGAAAGCTCTTTTAAAACAATGAGACTGTTATGGGGATGCTGGAATCATCTGTAATACTGACGAACGCGCATTTCATACTTTTTCTTTGTTTTTTTTTTTTATACAGAATAAAAAATCCTCCAAAATAAAAGAAAAAATCTGTGGGGAAATAAATAGCTGTGGGAAACTACAAACCTATATAAAAAACAAAAAAAGATAAATTATAATTCATGTTATCACGTAGAGTATCTTTTCACATGATATAAATGATTCCAAGTATTTATTCAAACAAAAAGTAATTTCCCACATTTGAATAATGTATAAGAATATAATGAGATCTTCAAATTATAATTTTGAAGCTTGCTGCAGTGAAATAAATTAAAAAAGTAAATCTGAATGTATTATCTTGCATTCATGCGATATATAGGATACAGCAGAGCAAGAAATGTACGTAAAATTTTATTTAATGTTCTACTTGATGTATATTATGTTTTACTTTGGAATAAAAAAATCTTTTGTCGATCAAATTCGTCGTTCCAGTATATCTCCTGAACATTGTTTTAGAAATGTTATTCAGTATTTCGCATCGTGAAAGTATTAATTATAAAGTTAAAAAAAAGAAACCTAAGAGAGATCGCCGTTTTCAAACCGTTAAATTCGAGAAAAAAGATTTTAAATGCATAATATCAGCCGGAGATGAAGCTGAGTCCATAGACAAGAAAGAATTCTTTATTTTCATCGTTGGGATTAACTCTTTCTTTAGAAGATGATTCTCTTCCCGATGGGGTATCGTTTAAAAATAGATACCTCCGGAATGAAAACGTCCATGAAAGATCGCCGAAACGAGCTTCGTCGTTTACATCTGTGAACTGGCTCTCTCTTCGCGGATTCTGATCATGAATCGAGAACCGAAAATAAAGGAACGAGTAGCGAGCCGCATCCGGGGGGAAAAATAGAGGCATAAAGAGAACAATAAAAACAGCGGAAGTTCCAAGATGACCGTAGTTCCTAAAAGCCACATGACACCGTGTTTCTCTTCCATCTGTTAGACACACGTTTCGCTCTTTTTCTCTCCTCGAAGGCGAGACGAGATGTTGTTTCTTTCTTCACCCTGCGATATGCCCCTCATTTTTCGCTCTGTTCCTCTTTTCCCTTCTTTCTTGCCACGCGGCAGAAACCTCGGGGCATTTTGGTTGATTGAGTCGTCCCCTCGCGCATCGACGTCATTCCCATTTGCTGCGGAAGATAAACGTATGGGCGAGCATCAGGGGATGATAAATCCATGCATTTCACCCCCGTTATGCGCCTTTTCATCCCATGTATTTCCAAGCCTCGTTTCCCTTCAAACTAACGCTACTTCCTTTTATTTTTCTTCTTTCATGTGTACTTCTATACGAATCCTGACAATGGTCGAATGAGGGATAAAATGATCAAATTATCCTCTAATAATTTGAAGAGACAATCGATTTCATGTCAATACACATTTCACTTTAATAAGTAATTATTTTTAATAAGTTTGGAACAAAACTATTACATAAAAAAACTAGTAAAAAAAGAAATATATATATTATATTATATGCTCGTATTATGCAACGCGATATAGTAAAATAAATGGCCAAAGAAATGAACAAATATAGATACAAAAATAGTTTATTATAAATAAAAAAAAGAATGTGTTTTAAACACATGAAGTCTTTTTTTTCAATAATAATTAGAACAAAAATAAATTAATGATATAAATATAATTAAAAATATATTGTATTAATGTGAAGATTAAATGAAAATATAATAATAGAAAAAGGTTATTAAGAGGTTATATTAAATGGCACATAAATAATGTAATAAATAAATATATATGATGTAAATAAAAAAATCAAATCAAATAATAAATATTTGAAAATCAAAAAAGTAAAATATAGAGCCATATCGTGTTTCATTATTCTAAAAAGAAACATAATAATTTTTTCATTTCAAGTGAAAAAGTATTAAATTATTGATAAAATTTTGGATTGTTAAAATTGTTTGATCAAGTAAAATATTTTTTTACTAAAATCTTCTAAAAAATTTTCTGAGATCTGGAAAATTTTCTTAAATTCAAAATTCCAGATAAGATTAAAGAATCTTTCAATACAAATTCTTCTTTTAAAATTCTTCTTTTAAATTGGAATGCAAGAAATCTCAAATAAAAAATATAATGAACTCTTAAATAAAAAATATAATGGAAGTTGATGTGAAACACAGGAATTAGTAGAATACGAGACTATATTTTCTACAATTAGAGCGAAAATTTATAGGATAGTTTAGGGAAAAGGCTCACTACAAAATAGAATCAGTAAATTACTCTATTATTTTCTACTGTTATTCTGATTTTTTCAGAAAAATTTACGTGGCCAAAATGAAAAACGTGAATATGCATAAATGTGCATACTATACTTATCAGTTGCTAACTAATTGTAAACATTTTGCATTATAAAAAAAAATTAAAAACTAATTTTTCAGAAAGACAGAATTTTAATTTAAAAGTAAAATTCCAAAAATTGTTCATGTTCGATAAAGTTCTGTCCCTGATTTTTAAGAACAAAAAAAAGTTCTCTGAAAATTCCAGATTTTTCCAGGTACTAAATAATTTTACTAAATCTATACTTGTTCCTTTGGCCTTTCTATAAGAAAAAGTAAAATAGGAAAAATTATCAAGATATCAATAAAAATTACAACTGACCACCTGATCTTCCCCCCGTCTTTCATGATATTTTCTCACAATGTCTCTTATGATGTTGTCTTACATAATAATAGCTATTAAACGAGTTCATCTTTAAGTTTCACATTTGACCTCGCGGTCTCTGCTCCTGGAGTTAATAGAATTTCCCGCGACACAGTAAACGAATAATCGCACGGTTCGCCCCGAAGAGATTGCGATCGCGGCAGCTGTTCGCTTCACATCCGAGCATTATTATTTGTCCGTTGCTCGTTTGCTGCAAAGAGACACAGTTGGCGGCTTGGGTTTCCTCTTCCTGAAAATTGGTAAACGATAAAGAAGCTCTTTTCCGAAACGGGAGATTTGTGATTGAAGGAAACACGGAGAGAAAAGGAACTGCTCGAAGACGAGGAAGAAAAAAGCCATCGTAGCCACGGCGTAAAACAACGAGTTAATCTCTTCTCTAGTGATATCATTGCAATATCTCGCTGGGAAGAGCTCTCTTGGCATCATAATAGCTGTGACATAAAATCATGTCTGGTGTTAGCCGTCCTCCGAATGACGACAATCGCAATCGTTGCTAAAACGAGAGATTGGCTTTCTTTCAGCGCGGATTTTTCCTCCCCTACTGAAAATTCATCATACAGAAGTCTCTTTCTGTCTCTACTCGAGTGAGGCAGATGTCTCGTTCATCAATGTACTGAAGGAAGCATTAAACTTTGAGGGAGAGCGTGTACATTTCACGTCAAATCCGATTTTGACGGATTAGCATTTTAGTGGAAAAAAATCATCAAGCATTGCTTGACAAACGCAAATAGATAAAGGAAACGTCAGAATGGTTTTTCGTGTTGTTTCGACATGTTTATAACATCTGCTCGCCGCCTAATCGCTGGAAATACGATAATTTTTTAGTGGCAATCATTTTATCAGATGAATATTTTAACTCAAAATTTAACCAAAAATAAAATTCAAGTAAAACAAAGTTTAAATTTAATACTGAATATTTTCAAATAATACGGAACATTTATAAATTTTATTTAAAATGTTTTAAAATATTACAAATGTGTGTGTGTGTGTGTGTGTGTGTGTGTGTATGTATTAGAATATGTATATGTGTGTGGAAGGCATTAATAGTTACGATGCGGTCAGATGATACACCGATAATATCGCGCGCTCGATAAAGTTTGCAAAACAGAGCGAAGCGGAACGAAGCGATGCAGCTGCCAGGCGAAACGTGAAATCACGGGAC